GGGGGGGGGGGGGGGGGGGGGGGGGGGGGGGGGGGGGGGGGGGGGGGGGGGGGGGGGGGGGGGGGGGGGGGGGGGGGGGGGGACTCTGCCCCCTTCAAAAACATGCACTTCTGTTCAGCTTGGGAGGGGGTTGGGAGGACCGCGGATTTCTGATGTCATGGAGGTATCGCACCAGCATGTTTCTTACTGGGGCGTTCCTTACGTTGTGGCCGAGATTGAGCTATGTTTCTTAGCCTTTTTTTTACTATTTTTCGTACAAACTTGAGCCTTTCTGGACAGAATTTTCTTAACTGCGGGCGCTATCTGTATTTGTACGCGAAGGGAAGGGGTGGCGAATACCGTGAGACGCAGTACCTTCTTTCGAGACCGTTCATTCGTTTACTCATGAAACTCAACAGAGCCGTAGAGCCCAGCCGCGGGGGGTGGTTCAGGGAACTCTTCGCGATATGTGGAAGGAAAAGCCATCAGGGTAGCTTTTGGTCTCCGCCGGGACAGTGATGTGTACTTGTGTTCCTCGGTGCGACGCTGGAATACGCTCGTTTTTTTTTGTTTCACAAGAATGAGATAAATATATGTCTACTTGGACTTTCCTCCTCCTTCCGCCGCCGGCTATGCAGTACATTAGTTGGCCAAGTACAAACTAGTGTGCTGCAGTTGTTTTAAACACGTCCCCGACTGCGATAAATCTCATATTAAGTATTGTAAATATGTTCGACGTCAACAAACGGTTGCCAGTCGTCTCGGCGATGCTGACTTTTCGTACCACCCCCTTCCTGAGCAAAAGACGCGTAGTTTGAGGTATAGCATGCCTCCAATGGCCCCGGGGATGGTGAGCTATCGTCCCCTGAATTTTAAGGACGCAACCCCGCTTTATGGACGCGTTTTTTCGGGAAAAACCATGTGCGTCCTTAAAGCGGGGTCGACTATACTGCTGTACACCCTTTCAGCCTACGTAGAGTACTCACTTTTCAGTGTATTTTTCGTACAGCTATGTACAACCATCCAGGGTCGCACAGGAGGGGGTAAACAAAACAATATTCTCGTCACCCTTTTGAGTCAAAATATCACGGGTTTCGCCAGAGGCGTCAGTCAGCCAACCCGCCTTCGGTTGGTTCGACCTATCAATCAATGCGGAGCTGCACAAACAACGGCGGCGGTGGCTTGGCAACCTCATTGTGCCATAACGACGTTGTACGTACCTCTGGCCGCGCCCATGCACGCATACGCCATGATGTGTTTCGCCACCAGACTGGCACGGTAATTCGAGACGATACTCGTAGGATATGCAAGTACAACACAGATACATCGTACAGATATGGTCACACCCAAATACTTCCATGCAGCGACCGCCGCCATGACTCGCGAAAAAAAGCGAAAACCGACGTGGATTCCGTTATTTTTCACAGCGATAGCTTCATCATGTTGTAACAATACGGAGGCGTGGATTCTGCAGGCAATCCTCCCGGGGGCGTGGCACCAGGCGAAACTCCATGGGTGGGTGAGACCAGCGCTACCTTGTCGTCACGTCACCTGGAGCAGAAGAGGAAGAGAATAGTCTATGTTACATATTGGAACCAGCACCACCGTTCCGAGCCTGTCCACGTTTTCTGCACATACTCCTGCTCCATGGACGGGATGGATGCCGTTCGTGGTGATCTACCTTGCTGATTGTTTATTGCCCTCTCCGGCGTCTTCTGCTGTAGCAACGTGCTCGTGGATGACCGCGACAGGATGAAGGCCCACCCGCCAACAGTGAGCGTGATCGTCATGATGGCACTGGCGAAGAACCTGCGCCTTCTCCTTGGATGCCCACAGCTGCCAGCTCCGCATACCTGCACGCCTGCACCTTCTTCGTAGCGCTGGGTCTTTGGTGATCGGGTGACGCCACCAAGCAGAGGAGATCCCTCGTGTGTTACCATCGGTGGATGGAGTCTCTGCCAGCCCGGGACGCACCAACAAACCGTTGTTGGAGGCAGTACAGCAGTTCACCACGTGCATTGAGATCTTTACTTCTAAATTTGCTGTCTCCTCATTGGTTGGAGATGCACGTGCGTGCACTCCCTCGGTGAACCTCTATTTGGTTCTGTTCACACACTTCTCCCTTCTTCCCCTCGCTCCTCGACAAGCTTTTGCTTAGACATGGGTTGTAGTGAAGGGGGGGGTCTTTCTGGCGAGCAGGGCTAGACTCACCCTCAAGGGATGACCGAAACCTTCTTGCTGCTGCGCATATCCGCCGCGAGGCATGCGCGTGGTGGTGTAGTTGGGTCGGCACTGATGGGGTCAGGCGAAAAAATGTAGATGCGCGGGCCTCTGGCCGTCGGCGTAGGCAGCGATGCCCATCTCATTTTTTGTGCGCGGAGGCAGACACCGTCAGAAGGTGGACGGGCACTATGTACACGGCCCTAGGTTGGCTAGAGGGCGCTGCATTGCCTCAGTAACCTGGCTTCGCCATCAAAGGAGGAGGGAGCAGGTGGCGACGAGCTGAACTGGGCTGGTTGACCCCTTCGGCGCGAGAATTTTTATTTTTCAGACCAAGAACCTTGAGTGCAACGAGGGAGAAAGCGAGGAACCGACTGGGAAGGACAGCAACGAGAGCGTGTACGGACGGAGCAGGTCGAGTGGCGTTATGCTCGGGCTGACTACAGCGGCGCCGGACGGAGCAGCGGCACCGGAGCATGCGGGCGACATCGACCCGTGGCGCACGGACAAACATTTGTGTTTGATCTGTGTTGTCAATTTTTCTCGTTTTTTTCCTGATTTTCGGTGTTGGTTCTATGTGATGACGTCGTCACTGGTTTTGTAGAGAGACCCGTCAGAGATGGCGTGGCTAACCCGGGTGCCTTGGTTATGTGCCTGATCGTGGAAGACCCCTTCAATGTGGAACGATTCTTAGCTAGTGTCGATATTTTTCACTGCAGTGCCTACACAGACGATCGGGAGAGATTCGGGTGATTGTCCATTGCAATCATGGCTTTGGTTGGTTGTTCTTTTTCACTGTACGTCCGCAGACACATTCTGACAGCACTTCAGACAGCAGCTTTGTGCCCCGCCAGCTTCTTGTTCCATGCCTACCATGGTGTTTTTGTACAGACAGCACTTCAGACAGCAAGTATGCTGTAGTCGGCAATCATTCGTTTTGGTACAGAGTGGGACAGGTAGGGGGTGATGTTACTGTAGTCGAACGGTGAGACGGACGTGTAGTTCAGTTTTGGGCACGCGTACGGTGCTGCAGGGATTATATATAGGTGTAGTAGTACCTCTTCGGGCTCTTGTACACCTTTTTCTTGCTACGTGTGCGTGTTCTTTAGATCCTCAGATGGCTCCAGCACTTTCGTGACCACGGGCCGAGAGTCTTTGCTAGATTTTGGCATTTTGCAACTGGCATACGGTTTAATGTGAAGTCAACAACAACAACAATAACTGCTGCACGATGGCAACACTACGTGCGAAGAGTCTACTACAGTACCACACCGCCACAGAAAGGTGTGTTTGGTGTTACCTCGGCAAGCAAACATGCATCTTTTGCAGCATTTAACTCTGTTTGGGTCGTTGTGCACATTTGGATGGCTTTTGATGCGTGCGTGCACACAAAATGTTGCACCACCTTCTGGCCTCGTGTCGCAGCTTCTACATGATTCACTGGGGGGGGGGGTTACGGCTGTCTGCTGCGCATACAGCGGTGGGTACGTGTACATATAGTCTATGTCATGTACATCCACCTGTCGGAAGTACCTTAGAACAGTAGGTTGGGTTCAATAGATGCAACACAAGATAACATAACTCCATAAGGATAAGGTAGCCTGTCGAAGTATAACCACATGCTATGCTACTACTACAGAAGGAGCGGGACGAATAGCACATGCATGTTTAGCTGAAATGTTACCAGTTTGTGATGCACTATGGGGAGAGGTTGGAAGCACCATCGGAATTGATTCAGATCGTTGCTGGATCACTAAAGGTGGAGACGAAATCCTGGAAGTTTTGACTGAAGCAGATCAAATAGCGCGTTCAAATGGTGACTTTACTCCGCACGTTGTGGAAACATATGATTTTGTAGCCATGTATACTAACATACCTTTATCTACCCTTTTAGTCCAACTGAAAGAGTTCATTGATTTGGTGTTCGACTTCCAACTTCGGGATTCAGAGTATCGTTCAATTTCTGTAAAGTATGGTTTTAAAGAGGGTTCTCCATTCGTAGTAAGTAAAGGAAGAAACACATTGGGACACGAAGGAGCCAGTAGATATAGATGAGGATGATAAGAAGAATAAGACATTTTTTATTGGGAAAGATCGCCTTTTT